TTTTAATAGGGTACGTCAACAGAATGTACACTAAGAAGTAATTTTTCGATATTCCACCGCAAGGGAGAGAGACAGGATTAAGGCTTACTGTGAAAAACTTGGCTTCTATTATACTATTTTAGATGCGGGTTTTTGCGTTTTTGATTGCGTTTTAATAGGGTACGTCAACAGAATGTACACTAAGAAGTAATTTTTTGATATTCCACCGCAAGGGAGAGAGACAGGATTAAGGCTTACTGTGAAAAACTTGGCTTCTATTATACTATTTTAGATGCGGGTTTTTGCGTTTTTGATTGCGTTTTAATAGGGTACATCAAGAGAATGTACACTAAGAAGAAATTTTTCGAAAATTTCCCCCCCCACGGGGCAAGTGTTATACATTTATAATAGATACATTTTGAGCCACAACAACACGTGGCGGGGTCTGCTAGTTAATATATACAAAAGAATAAACATCAGTAAATGTCATGCAAAGCTAATCAGAATCATAGTTTCATCTATGATACACAATCTATATTCTACCAATAATACAAGTCTAACATCACATGCAAGCAAACTGGAAACACTGCTATTATTTCTCTCTCACTTCAAAGACTTAATTGAGAATTTCAAATACAACATATTTTGATTTAAAAGTTTGTCATTATGTACATATATATTTGGAAATTAGTTACTTTAATATTATTTTTAAATTACTTTTGTGTTTTATAGTTGTTTGAGATGAAAATGATTCCTTCTCCAGATGATAACAATAGTAGTGCATCCAGTTCCATTACAATGTGGTTCTATTTTATATTTTAAATTTTATTTTCTCAAAAAATTTGATACGAAAAGTATTATTTATTAAACTGAAAAATTTTTCCTATTATCCAGATAACAAAATTGCCAAATTTTCAAAGATCTATAATTATTTTTCCAGAATCATCAATTTTAATTTAAAATAATTTGTTTTATTAATACATATTGTTCCTAAATATCCTTATAAATATTTAACTGTAATAAAAAGTAATACAATCTACATTGCAACATAAAAGGAATTTAGCATTGAATGTATCACATGTATACAAGGTCTGTCCCAAAAGTATGTGCACTGATTTTTTCATTTAATGACTGTGCAGCTTAACTCATTATTAATTGATATTTTCATGTTGCTAGATACCTTAGCAGCATGTCTAGACCTGTTTCAAGTTGATCAGTTAAGTCAAACATGCACAATCTCTGTTTGTGTAAGGTAGTGTTTTAACACATCATTATGTTTGAAATGGAGAAAAATCTTGAACAACATTACACTATCAAGTTTTGTGTGAAACTGAAGAAATCTGCAACTGAGACATGTGCAGATTTAACCAAAGTTTATGAAGATGCCACTTTATCGAGAAACATGATGTTTAGGTGGCACAAAGCTTACAAATAGGGGTGAGAAAATGTTGAAGATGAACCTCGTACCAGAGGGTCAACCACATGAACAAGTGATCAAAATGTGGATGCTGTAAAAGCTCTGATGGCCAAAGACTGCCAACTGAGTGTCAGGATGATTGCTGAACAAACAGGTTTGGATAAAAATGCAGTTCACAGAATTTTAACAGACATTTTGCAAATTTGTCTTTGGAGTAAAAGGAGAACTGGTTGAAAATTTGTCAGGAAAATGCTGGACAGACACACAATTGTAGAGTAATAACAGGAGATGAGTCCTGGGTTTTTGAATATGATCCAGAGACCAAATGACAGAGTGAGGAATGGCACACTCCAAATTCTCTTCATGAAAGCACACAAACAGATCCAGGGTAAAGACGATGCTTATCATTTTTTTTTCAATAGTTATGGAATTCTGCACAAAGAATTTTTACCTTCAGGACAGACAATTAATCAGGCCTTCTATAAAGATGTCTTGGAATGACTTTGAAAATGAATCAAGTGAGTCCGCAGGGACATTGCAGAAGACTGGGTGCTGCACAATGATAACACACCTGCTCAAACAGCATTATCAATTCACGAGTTTTTGGCCAAGAAAAAATCCCCACACTTTCACAACCTCTGTGCAACTACCTATTCCCTAAGATAAAATCCAAGTTGAAATTATCATTTTGGGACAGTGGAAAAAACATTGGAACCATTGTGTGACATCACAAGGATTGTACTTTGAAGGAAATCATTTGTAGTTTGATGTAACTCTTGTATACTTTGAAATAAAAAAATCAGTACACTTACTTTTAGGACAGATCTCGTATATTAATGGTGTGATTGGTACACCTGCTAGTATAACATGAAAAAATTTTTCTGAATACAAATTCATATTCATAATCTTTTGAATTTTTAATTTAAAAAAATACAATCAGCCATTTTAATTGAAATTATGTGTACACTTTTTAATTGGCTTATCATCAGTGAATGTTTTAACTATTTTACACAATTTTTCAGAGATGTAGTTTCCAATAAAAATTGCTGCTGCAAATAAAGACTATTTTTGGTGATTGGACATGATGGAAAGGAAGATGACTTAGTTTCTTTGAAGTTTTAATTTTTTTTTTAAATACCACCAGCTATTTTAATTGAAATAATGTTTATTTTGGAGAGTGTATAAAGCATAGAATTACCAATCAATTGTTTAGTTTAGTTTAGTAAAAATGTTCTCAGAAAATAACTTTACAAAGTAATTCTCAAGATAATATTTTAATATTCTATTCTTGGTTATACATATTGCATCTTGTTTTAGATTATTTCAAATTTCCAATATAAATTAAATGTTTATATATTAAAATCAATAATAATAAGAGACAGAAACAAAATATTATTTTATCAAATGTATATGTTCCATATATCTTTTCTTTAATATTTTAAAAAACTTTTCTTATAGAAAAATTTATTAGTGTTTATTGTTTGTCAACCTGCAGGCAATAGGAAACTTCTCATCAACAAAATGGTGTTAGGCTATGTTATAAAAATTATTTCAAATTCAAAAAAAAAATATATATATATTATTAAGTTCATCTTTTGAAAATTCATCTTATATGACACAAAACGTATAGAAAAGTTTTATGACAAAATGAAGGATCAGAAGTCCCAGTATTTATTTTAAATTATTTGTGTATAGTGAATAATCTTTATAAAATTAAAAAACACATTACTTGATGATTTGCTAATTCTTCATTAACAGCAGACATTAATTTATTAATTTCTTCAAGCTTGTCCATTCTAACCTTCAATTTTTCAACAATATTATCCAATTTACTTTTCTGATCACTTAATTTAACTTCTTGTCTAGCTTTAACATATCTGCAAAAAATTATGTAATTTAAAAAATTTACAACATTATAACACTGATAAATTTCTGATTTTAATTAATTATAATATAAAATATATTTACTTGTCTATTTCTTTTGAATGAATGTTGATATCTTGTAAAACTCTCTCCATTCTATTCACCTAAAAATACATTATTGACAATACAAATAAATGTTACAATATAAATGGAAATTTTCATTTACCTTTTCACGTTGAATTTCCATTCCCTTTTCTTTTTCTTTTATTAATGATTCTTTTTCTTTTTTCAAATCTGTTAATGTTATCTAAAGTATAAGTCATAAATAAATTAGATGAATTAGTGAATTATTCAGCTTCTTACAACCAATATTACTAGCCTTATCAAATTTGTCATTTGAATAAGTTTATATATTGTTGACTAATATTCTTTATATAAAAAATTAAGAATGAAATCCCATCCTAAATTATCTAAAGAATTGGACTGGATTCTGTTTAAATCCCTCACAATAATAAGACATTTTGATATTGCATGATATCCAATTGCACACTATAGATGAAAACAATATCATGAAATATTTATAAATAATATTTACCTCTATTTCTTTTAATTTTGTCTTTGCTTCCTGAAATTACAAAATTAAAAATTAAAAATAGATAATTAAAATTAATAATTATAAGAAAATCGAACTTTTAAGTTTTCTTCTAAATCAATGTTATCAGAAATTAGTTTCTTTTTCTCTTCCTCCAAAGAACTTCTTTTTTGTAATCTACTTGTAATCTGCAACAGCTCACTTTGAAGGTCATTTTTTCTGCTTCGTAACAATTGGATATTTTCAGAATGCTCAGTAATTTTCTGTTGATAATGTTCTATTTCATTTTTAATAGAATTTCTTTAAAAAAAAAATAATAATATATATATTTTTTTATTTTAACATTTATATTTTTTGTATAAACTTTGTAACAGTATTTATATAAAAATAATGCTAATTACAGTTTCAAATTCACCATCTCTTGCTCATCAGTGACTTGTTGCATAGTACGATTCATATCTAATAATGTTAAACAAATTTAAGTTTTATAAATAGATTTAATATCGTTTTTAAAATAATNAACGTAGTAACTCCATAATATCGTTTTTAAAATAATAGAAGTATACTAATTAATTAAATCCTTATATTACTTGATATAAAAATTCAGTTTTTTTCAACAGATGCTGATAAAGATTTGCATTTTATACCTGTCACATAAGATGACTCCTAGTTTTGAAGATATTTTTCAGATTTAAAAAAACCAACTTATATGCCAGCATGTAAAGTATCTGTTTTAGTTATTTTTCTTAAAAAATAACTAATACATAAGGATAAATATTTTAAAATGAACATATTTAAAATAAACTCTACCTGCTCCACCTAACTGACAAGTTAAATTCGACAATCTGTCGTCTATCCTTTTAATTTCTATGTAATTCTGATCCCAGATAATGGCATGTTGTTGAAGAGAAACTGCCATCTGATTATCAGCATTTTTACTTTCTAAAATTTCTTCGAGCTGTGGATACATTAAAGTAATTTGTATGCATAAAGTAGTAGTTATAAATTCTATAGTAGCTGTAATCTTAATGTAAAATTATAGAATAATATTTAAATGTCTTAAATCACATGTAAAAAAATACCTCTTCAATTTCTTTTTTTTCTGATTCAATTTTTTCTGAACAAGTTGAAAGTTTTTCTCTAAGTTCAGGAATATCATTTTTGGATAAACTTTTAATCTATAAAAAATTTTAATATATGGATTATTTTCTATAAGTTATAACTGAGTAATTACATATGAGGCGTGTCCGGAAAGTAAGTACCATTTCGTTCTATCATCACCACAGCAGTAGTATCACAGTTCAACGCCTGCACACACTTGTCTCTTGTTGACTGTCACACACACACACACACACACACAATCTCTTTATTAATGCAACATTATTGCATCACTGGTACCGCAATAGCATAACCAGTTTATACATGTTTAAGGTTGAACACAGGAATATAAAATAATGTGCTTCAATGCATTTACATAAGATATATACCGTAAATTAATACCATAACATTTACATGTATGACAGATGACATTGAATATCTGCATTATAAATAATAAGCTAGATTAACAACTTAAAATTAAACAATAAGTAATAGTCAATTAACAGAAATATGTAAAGTATAATATATATTGTTGCAGTAGATGTTAATATAAATTTCACATACAAATATATATGATGATATAATACTGTAGTTTAAACAAAATAAAGCTTAGAATAATTATCACTAATAAACTATAAAAGTTACTTTGCAGGTCTTCAGGTGTAGTTGCTGCATACAGTCATTTCATGTAGAAAGAGTTCTTAGGAGTCTCACATGTTACTGGCAGCACAATATCCATACACTAAAATGGAAGTTCCTACAAACATAGAAGTACTTGGAAGATTCGGACAAGAACACTCTGACGTAACACAAATATTAATAGTTCATTGCAGCTATCCAAGAGCTAAGTCAGCTTAAATGCTTATGGATGTCCACAAAACGAAGCAACTTGGAATGCTTTGACATTTCTTACCCAATACAGTGAAGAGGGTAATGATTTCCTAAACAAAATTGTTACCGGTGATGAAACTTGGGTTTGTCATGTCACTCCAGAATCAAAACAACAGTTGATGGAGTGGAGGCACAAATTCAAAACAACGTTGTCAGCATGAAAAATCATGTACACTGTGTTCTGGGACAGACAGGGAATTTTGCTTGTTGAGTTCCTTCCCAGAGGTGAAACCATCAATGCAGAACGATACTGTAAAACATTGCAAAAACTTCGCTGTGCAATTCAAAACAAAAGGCGTGGAAGTCTCAGTAAAGGCATTGTGTTGCTTCACAACAATGCACGTCTCCATACCGCTGGTGTCACTCAAAACCTTATTCAACAATTCAGTTGAGAGCAGTTCGATCATCCGCCGTACAGCCCTGACCTCACACCTGCAGACTACCATTTGTTCTTGAACTTGAAGCATGATTTTGGAGGGAGGCGCTTTGCCAGCGATGACCACACAACAACCGATGTTCAGCAGTGGCTGTCTTCACTGGTGACACTGTTATATAAATCTCTACAAGTTGAATTTGATGATGAATTTCATTTCTTTGAAGAGAGTATAGACAAGTTGGTTTCCTGATATGGCAAATGTCTGAACAATGGTGGTAACTATGTAGAAAAATGGTTTCCGATATGCTCTTTCGTGTAAAAATAAATTTTGTTTTGACAAAAGATTTTTTACACGAGTTTTTTCAAAACGGTACTTACTTTCCGAACACGCTTCGTATTTTTATTACAAATCGTTTGAAAAACAAAAAAAAAAATATAATTAATAAAAATAAACTTATATACAGAAATGAGCAATGTTGAATAAAATTTTAAAATTGACAATGATAACATAATCATGAAAATATATTTATACATAAGTAAATTATTTACTTTCTAAAATTAATACAGTGGGTGATCGGTTAACAAACAAATTGGATAACGAACACTTTCACAAAAGATTTTTATGTTTGGACAACGAACACCCCACAGAACAAACACAAGAAGAAGTGATGTAAAACAATGAATACCGATTGGTCTTCCCTTGTCTTCAGGCAACAATTCAAAACTTTTCGGAGTGCGGGAGACATTGACACCTAGTATATACCGATCGGATAGTATTCCTCCGAACTTTGAAACTCTCCCTTGAAATTCCAGCCTTTTATTTTTCTGACAAAAACAATTCTTTTATGTATTTGCGAGACTGTCGGGTAAGCACTCGTTAAGTTTTGCATCTGTTTTTCTTTTCAAAAGGTGAGAGTATAATAGCAAAGGTAGAGAGTGGGCAGAAGATGCCTAATGTTGCTGGGCAGTATGGCGTGAACAGGTCTACAGTAGGCCGCAGTTCAATCTTATTTAAGAAAAATACTGTATAATCAAGAAGACTCAAGCAGCTAAAGGAGTAACAAAAATCACATCTGAGAAATAAAGAACATCGAAGAGTTCATAATGAAACCTGAAACAGATCTGATGACAGAATAACACCAAGAAACTCAGTGATATATGTTTTCTTCTGAAAAAGAGGATTAATGCCGATATCTGCTATTACACTAGGTCTTCAGGGCCCCCCAAGCTGGGGTTCATGTTATGTTATGTTATGTTTTGTTCGTTCTAAACTGTCACGTACATTTGTATTTGCTAAGTCGCGAGTTGTCTACTGTGATCTTTGTTTAATCCGCGGTCTGTTGTACTCTACAAATTGGAGCAGTTTCATTGTTTTTCTTCAGGCATGTACCTACATTTCGTATTACATTCATTTGTGTTCCAATAAACGAAGCAGGGTGCTGGATGCTCACAAATCTCTTCTTCACACTTTCCTATCATACTTACCCCATCTTCCCCTCCCCCTCTCTTATCCTCTTCTCACTTCTCTTCTAAGGCTAAGCCTCTGGTACAGCCTTCTTAACTTTTACAGAGAGATATCTGCTATTACAGATCTTTTGAAGAAGTGGGAGGATGTCAGAACAACAGTCTTAGAATGGCATCCAAACCAGGTTGAGGCTTGGGGATTTCTACAATTACAATGCTATTAATTACTTCTGAAAAATCCTGAAGAAGAGAGAAAAGCAATCGACATTAGACAGATTCTTTAACCCTTTCAAATGGAAAAAACATGACTAATAAAAACGCAAGACAGTGTATGTATGTATTTTTATTATTACATATAAATAAACGTAGTAAGAAAGTATATATTTTTTATTTTTCGGGGTCTCCAGAACAAATTAATTAAATTCCCATTGGGGAGACTATCCACATTTTGACAAGATAACTTAATGTTTTTTTCTCTTATAGAATTATCACATTTTCATTTTCATAAAGGAGATGAAGACTCGGGACTACTCATTAGTATTGCCCGAGTGTGAAGAAGGGTAGAGGAAAGGTAGTTAAGGGAAGAGGTGAAGGGGAAAGAGTAAAGCGAGATAGGAAAGGGGATGAAAAGGGAAAGTTTCATGGGCGCCAAGCCTGTTTTATTAAGAATCAAATGAAACATACAGATATGGCTCCTGGCATCAGATACAGACAATAATTGCAATATTTACAGTATGTACAATTGAAGACAGTTTGATTACACGTAGTTTGAAAACAATTTTAACCAAAAAAACAGAAGAACATAAATCAAATCAATATTTTGAACAAATACAGTTCTTGCCTGTCAGAATACAGACAATAAATAAACTTTTAACAAAATATTGTAAGGAAAAATGATTACACATAGAATGATCAAATTTACTAATCGAAAATACAATAGTAATTAGACAACATTAATTAATGTATTAATCAAATATGGCTCCTCACCATCAAAAAAACATAAATTATACATTGATGAAATCTGAATCTTACAGTTATCACCGAAAGTAAAGTATTACAACAAATTAACTTAAACTACATATCGAAAAGGTCATAACAAATACGGCTTTTCATCGTCTAGTACAAATGTAGAAACAAATGTAGGGTCAACTGAACCATGTAGATCGATATAGGGTGTAGAGACAAGAACACTAATGTGTTCTTTTAAAGTTCGTCTCAAGCGCTTTAGTCTTCTTAATAAAAGTTTGAATTAAAGAGCTTCTTTCTCTGTTATAGTTGCTGCAGTAGAAGATCAAGTGATCGACATCTTGGACCAATGCACCATCGCAACTGCATGTTTCTTCGTCGGAAAGACCGAATCAATGAAGATAGTGCTTCAGATTCCCATGTCTGGTGAATGTCTGTGTCATGATGTAACCAATATTCAAATGTTTCATGGCAAGGCACTGTTGAATACATGGGAAAAATTTAAAGATGATTCTTCCTGTATCACCATTTTCCCAATCCACTTGCCACAGCTGAAGGGCAGTTTGTTGAATCAGATCCTTGATGTTCTTCTTGGTAAGAGCAGTATTGTAAAGTACTATATTATTTTTCCGACTTTCCAACGATTATCGACACTACTGTGTGCCGGAAATAGCCGTTCCCTAACGGGTACTTTACGCGGATTCGCGTTAGTGTGCCAGGCCTGGACTTTAAGCGTGCACCGAATTAAATAATGACAAAGTTTGTCAATAACAAAATCAAATATTTAATTAAACTTCTAG